GGTACTGGAGCCTCTCCAGCTGTGGGGGGGTGGTGGTGGTGGTGGACCTGCTGCTGCTGCCCAGGTTAGCCCCTGGTGCCTGACTGGAGGATGTCATCACCCCCATCTTCTGGGGACTGAAGACCAGGCCACAGGTTTATGCTGTTTTCGCTACGTATCTATGTCTGGGGGGTGTAGTTGGTAGAATAACTTAATTGTTTACAGGTCATGCTTTGTGGTTATGGAAAAACCTATCCCTAGGAGAGTTCTGTGGGAGGGCTGGTAACTAGGAATTGGCAAGACAAAACAATGTTATAATGCTATGTTCTGTGTCATACAGGTCAAAGAGTCCTACCTAGTGCTTTCTGAGTCAAATCCCTTTTTCTATGCCAGCAGGTGGTTAAAACCATGCCTCAATCTGAAGAGAACTGTGTTAAATCTGGAAACACATCAATGACTTGTTTATCTTCATGCCTTGCTAAGTGTCTGAAATCTAGGTTTCAGTATAAGGCCTTTCACCTGTGAAACAACAGATGCTGTGGGAGCCTCTGGGGTTTTTCATGTGTTTTGTTCCATGCTATTGACACTTTCTTTTTTCTATTCTGCTTTTTTGGGGGGGACAGGACAAAGAAATCCTAGCACAGGCAAGCCTGCCCCCAGCTTAGAAGGCAGTAGCTATTTTCTTAACTAGGGGAATATTTTAACCTTCATGTAGTTAAACTTTAGAGCATCATGACCTTGGTGGTGTTGCTGTCTCTGTCCTTTGGCATTGGGGGTGAGTAATGATTGTGTCTGTTTAGAGGTACTCAGCTGGCTGGCTTGTTTGTGTGGTTAGGTGCTTACTGAGTGTGACAGCAATGCATCTATCTTCTGATCTCACCAGATGCCCCTGAGTTGTTTTCTCTTGATTCTGTTTTTCAGACTCGGAAGAGGCAGAAGCCTGTCAGTGATACAGAGAGTGGAGAATGTTACAGGTCGCCTTTCCGGAAGCCCTTGGCTCAACTGACCAATAGACCTCACTGCCTGGATAGCAGTCAACATGTAAGTGGGTTACTGCTGGCACACCATAGCAGGTGGGTTGAATATGGAGCTCATTCATCAAGGGAATCCAAATGCTTCTGTGGATCTGTTTAATCAGAGGTATTATGGAAGTGACACACACACAAGTGAGTCTTTAGGAGAGACCTTTTGCTAGCTCCAACCATTTAATGTTGAAGGAAGTGTGGTGGGAGTTACTTTCTGTAATGGAAATCTTGAACAAGATTGTTCTGTGGGGCCTAGGTGACAGTGCCCAGGGACATAGGTAGCTTGCCACACAGATGGCTCAAGTACTATCTGTTTGCCCAGTTCTCTCTCGGTTTCCACTGCTGGAGACCAGGGGCTGGACTGGCTGCTTCCTGATCCAGCATGGATGTTCGTGCAATGGCATCCCAGCTCCTTTATAGGAAATTAATTGCCTGGCTAGATTACCAAGGCAATTTCCAAGAGGAAAGTGATAGCATTTAAAGAAGTGAATAATGCCAGTGGATTTAAGAAGATGACAGTTATGAAGATCAATTTCGCACATTAGAAACCCAAAGAAAAGTAGTTTTAAAAAGCAGAAGTGGTGGGGGGAATTGTGCTGGTTTGTTACTTTCTTTTGGATATTCTTGAAAATAGTTGGAGTTGAAGCTTGAATACGTTGAATAGAGGGACTCACAGCACTTGGCAAAGTTGAGTTCTCAAAATGTCCTGGACTTGCCTTCTTGAGCAATCTCTGATTTCAGACTTCTTAAGCATGTTTTCTTTCTGAATTCCTAGGAGGCTTTTATCCGCAGCATTTTGTCCAAACCCTTCAAAGTCCCCATTCCAAATTATAAAGGTAAGATGAGGAGGTTTAAGGATTGTCTGTGCTGACTGACTTGAGTAAAACAGATGATGCTCAAGCCTGTCAAATGTATCTGTGGGGATTATTGTTATTTTTTGCACTGATGCATATGTTCCAGAAATCCTGACTTAATTTTGGAAGAAAAATATTGGCACTTTAGGAAAGTCTTCCTATTTCTTACTAGTATTTAGTTTGGATAATTCTACACTTCAGAATTGGGTTTTGTATTCTTACTGCTATGTATTTGATGTCGTGCCAGAAGATTGTACACCATATTGCAAATACAAAACAAGATGAATTCCAAGTTAGGAAGGCTTGCCATCTAAATAATGCCCTAATGATACTAACAGACAGAAGGCAGTAGGTGAAAAAGATAGTATGTGCCAGTTTTCTTTTTACTTGACTTGGTGTGTTGACCCTCAAGGTGATCTTCAAAGCACGGCAGTTTTGAAGTTCAGAGCCTCAGCTGGTTTGAATCAGTGAAACACAAGATCTCAAAGCCAAAAGGGCTTGTTTTGCCCTTTCCCCCTTCACCCTCCAGCTGAAAAATTCAAATGCAGATCAACTTGTTTCACTCAAACTTCAGTTACAGAAGACATGTCTGTAAGCAGATGCTGACTGTGAAATGTCAAGGCAAAAGAGTTTGACAAAGTGAGCTTGTGGAAAAGCAGTTCTCTTAGGAGGCTGAAACAGAACTGTTATTGAGGAAGCTCTTAATTAGGAGATGAGGCTGTTCCGTGTGCTTTCTTCTTGGTGTGTACTCATATTGCCTCAGCTTGTGACACACGCATTTTGCAAGGAGCTTTAGCATTCATTGGGCAAATTGACCCTGCTTGACTCTTTCACAAGAAAAATCAATCCTGGGAGCACAGTTAGCTGAGTTTTGATGGGAAAAGGGATTTTTATGTATGTTCTTTTAGTGTTCATCTCCATTCCTAAACTGTGACATCAAAATATAATACTAGGAAAAGAAATCAGTGCTTGGTTTCTGCTTTTTGCAGAAATTGGCTCCAAGGCTAAAGATGAATATTGCTCAGCAGAGAGCAAATAATACCCTAGAGTAGGTAATGGCAGTATGGTGCAAACTGTGATACTGTAAAACTTCCATCACTGTTAAAGATCAGTTCCTGACCTTGCATGAAAGATAAAACTCTGGCTAAGTCTGGGTTAGGTTATCCAAAAAGAGGATTTGACCCAGTATGTAATATATGTGGGAATGTATTTATTGAACTGCTGAGACGTGTGTTCTGGATCCCTCCTTGTCTTTCGAAAGACTGGAACAATGACCTTTGGGTACCAGGAGTAGTTTCGATGCTCAGAGGTTGCTGAGGAAGATGATGTGCCTGTCTGTGGGTGGATGCCAATAGCATAGATCTGGGATGAAACCTTCAGTCACCTTGCAAGACAGCATGTACTGTTGTGTATCAACATGTATGTCATCTGCTGCACGCAGCTGTGCCCATTTTGGTGCACCCAGTGTGGCAGGCAGTCCCATTGCTCCACCTCTGCCTCTGTTCCTTCATTCTGTTCTTTCCTGCTGCAGAGCTACCTGCTGTGTGCTGGCAGAGTGCTGCTAAACAACCACACTGTGTAGGTTTGCTGTCTGCACCAGTTGTGTCTGCAACTCCACTCCAGCACCCGATTAATTCACTGTTCCTAAACGTAATCAGACTCTTCCGCGAGGCTCTGCTTTCTTCCAGGAAGAGGTTGTTCTTTGAGTGGTTCCTTTGTTTGCTTTCAGGGCCACTGGGCTTGCGTGCACTGGGTATCAAACGGGCAGGGCTGAGGAGTCCTCTCCATGACCCTTTTGAGGAAGGAGCTCTGGTTCTTTATGAGCCCCCACTGCTGAGTGCCCACGACCAGCTGAAAATAGACAAGTGAGTCATCACCTAACACAAATGCTTCAGCTCTGTCCTTGTTTGTGTAGGTTTATGTGCTTTCTTCCAAATGTGTCTGAGCTGGGGTCTAAGCATCAAGGGAAGTTTAATTCTGGGTATTCTGCCTCTGAATTGGTTCAGGTATCGTAACAATCGAAGAAGGAATGTACCCATGCTGGATTGTTTGTGTTCTTCCACAGGCTGTTTCCCCACTTATAAGAAATTCAAACCTTTGGCAGGGAATGAGCATGTACACATGGAGAAGCTGCTTAAAAAATCTTATGGCTTAGTTGTTAGTCAGAAAAAATCAGCATCTAAGGACAAGCAAAGGGAGATGACTGGCAGCCAAATGTTAGGCTGCCTAATGGTCTTTATTCTGAAGTAGTTCCTTTTGTGTTGCAGTTGTAACTTAAAAGGTCTGTCATCTGGATCTTCATGGGCAGAGCAGGGGGTTCCTTTCTCTAGTACTGCAGTTACAATATTGTTACTGAAACAAGGAAAATAATAATGACTCTTTAACTATGTCTCTGAAGCACATTCTGCCCTTCCTTTAACTACAGCCTGAATGTATGGCTTCACTGGTGTGTTTGATTGTAGATCAGGCCCCTGTGACTTTATTCTCAAAACTGAATTAATCCATTTTTTACTTTCTTGTTGGCAGTTGCTTCCCTCATGCCACTGGGGAGTCCTCAGTATAGCAGTGAGATTTAAGAAACCTAAACATACGCTGTGCTGAGTTCATTAATCACACTGTCTTCTTCCTTGACTGCCTCCTGCAGGGACAAAGCACCTGTTCATGTTGTGGTGGATCCTGTCCTCAGTCGTGTTTTGCGGCCCCATCAGAGAGAAGTAAGTTTGCCACTGGGACATGAGGGCATGGCTGGAGGACTTTTAAAAAGCTGCAGTTCCTCTGTTGCAATTGTTACCCACCAACTGTGGGCAGACTAACAGCCTGTGGTAGTCTAAGAGACTAATCTATTTCAAGTGCGAAGTGAAACACTTGTTTTAACCATCCTCTTAGAGGCCGGAATGCTGCCAATATTCTCTGTCCTGTATTAAGCAAGAGGATGTGCTGGGAGTCTTATAACAGTCCTGTTTGTCCTAAAATAATGTGGAAATTTACTGCTTGCTTGTGGGTAAGAACTTTTTCTTCTCTTGCCTCTGATCTAGGAGAGTCAAAGCACTCTCAGCCCAAAAATGATGCTGCCTTATGCACGGGTGTCTTCTCTGTGGGCTTGTAGGTCAGGTTAGCTGATAGTGGAAACCAGGGAGTTTGTGACAATTGTGCACAGGTCTAGGAAAGTGCGTTGGCTGACTTTTGTACCACCAGTAATACCTTAGAAAAAGACCAAATTCTGACAGGAGGTGGGATCTTGCAGTGTCAGGGCGGAAAGTCCTGTCTCTACTTATCTTGAAGACTGGAGATGCAGCTCTGCTAAGTAGAACTCGGTGTGGAATGTGATGGGATATAGTTGTAATAAATTATGTTGCAACCTAGGCTTGAGTTGGGCAGAGCAGACTGTGTTTTGCTGGTCAGCAGAATGACTTGGATCTGTGGTCTCTGAGCCAGGAAACGCTGAAGCTCTTCCCTCTGGTACCATGGTTCCCT